AATTTATCTGTATAGATAGCACAAAACAATATCTACACTACGATATACATTACATTTTCATATCACGAAAAACCTTTTATTTATTAAATGAAATATGCCTATTTTACTCACAAGTTCGAAGTCGAAATTTCTTAAATATTTAACATAGAAAGTTAAAACAATGTTTTCCACTTGAAATTATACATATGTTAACTAATACAATAGTTTAATTTACATTTTCTCTATTTATTTCACTATTTAAAACACTTTTAAATTTCTTATACAAAACTATCATTATTTCACTTATACACAGGAATTTTCACATAAAAATAACACAGAATTCACCTTTTTTAGCACGTACAATCAATCTGAAATGTTTCACAACTCATTTTTACATAAATTGCTGAAATTACAAATATTTAAAATTTTTACATATTCGGCCTCCTAAGGGCGTGGCCAGCGTGCTTCCGTGAACTCACACTATTTGAACAACTAACTTTTGCACGGCTCTCGGCTATCAGAAAAAATGAAAGTCTGATATACACCAATTTTAACAATATTGGGTGAATAAATGCTTTTACACAATTTTCGAACTGTAGGAAACTATCTCTAATCAGATTCTTATCAGTTATCATGTTTCTTATCAAACAATATAAGTGAATGTTCTCATAAATCAATCATGATAAATAGGCATTTGTTTTCATACAAAACATATCAAACTTATATAAGACAATACTTATGCTATTAATTTCCGTTAATTCTATTTATGCACAGAGTGATCATCTCGACCGGGGAACAAATCCGATCTCTAACTTCACTTTAATATTCTTTTAAATTTACATCATTGGACAGATGATTTCAACCGGGGAACCAATCCGGTAACATAATTTATATCTTAAAATTCCCTATATGAATTTATTGAAAGATATTACTTAGGAAAACAATAAACTAGTCCGGCCTGGGAGTCGAACCCAAGACCTTCATATCATTAATTCGACATTTCTTCAAGATTTAACTAAGGGGTTCCATTTTCTTATTAGAACATTGCTATTGGACAATATGCCTTTGAGACGTTATTCGTCATCGGTTGACTTAATAAACTGAAATATTCGTATAGGCGCGTCGCCAACAATACTATATGCAGGTTAAGTCTTTTATATATATATTTTTATCACAATATTAGCATTTAATGTACTACTAACTGTACTTTGTTACTTACACAGATATCATTGTAAGTTTGTGGACATATGTGGGTTAATCAAGGTTACGGAGAGGGGGGATTTCTAACACAAGTATTTATTTACTTAAAAGAAATCCTCATTCACAACACTGCTATGTAAAAACTCTGATACTGAATAAATTATTTGATTTGATTTGATACTACACCTTCGATCACAATATACATAATTGTTATACACTTCAAAAACTACATCTTTATAACGATGTAAGACCACTATTACCTATCGTTTTCTCATTGCTAACAATATTCTTAAATAATAGGTTTTAAATTTTGGTCTTGTTGTAACAAATAAAAGTGAAACAAATAGCAAAAATCTTACTATATAATTGGATAGTTATCATGTGTCAAAAGTGTATTGTAATGGGCATTAATTTTACACTTACATACTCTAAACTTGTAATTAACAAACCACCAAAATAAAATGAACATTTTACACATTATATTCTGTTCCTTTTAGAAAATGTTATATTATCCGGGTCACTATTCACTACGTTTCATTTATTTTTATGTGGAATATAGAATAACTTCTTTCTTCGTTTACTTTAACATTTGAGTATTAATATAGGTATGTGACATATTTATAAAATATCTCTCCTGCCTTGCTTTTGTACCACTCAACTAACCATAATACTATCGAGCCATTTGTCGGATTCGTACTTAACAAATTATTTTACTTCTACCTACTTTAATTAGTTTTTTGATTGTGCTAAAATTGTTGTTATGCTTTTGTTATTCTATTTGGTATGTATACAATGCGGGAGGCATTACATACAGCTTAGCAGCTGTAACACCTAGCACGGTTACTTAAGATACCTTAATTAGCATTGAGTAAAGCGGGGAATTTACTAGACGGACTTGTCCACGGGCATGTCTGCAGACACGCCCGTGGCCGTAGCCAGCTAGCCGGTCTAAAACAAACTGACGAGTCTGTGTAGTGTGTGCGGCGACAGACTTGCCCGGACACACAGCCCGCGGGCATGCCCGTCTAGTGAATTCCCCGCTTTAGGTTAAGTCATGTCAATTTAAATATATATTTTTTGTTTTTATGTAAAGTGTTTTGGGCTTAATAAATATTATTAATATTTTCTGACTAGAAAGATGTGACTTCATATTTAAATAATACTAGTATTTACGGTTTTTATCACATATATTAACTTTTTTATATACCCGACGTTTCGAGCGTTTTAGAGCGCCATGGTTACGGAGAGGACTGTGATGTTAAACGTTCAGATGTCATAGTTAACGCCGGTAACCACAGATTGAAATTATAAATTTTTGTTCCGATCTACGCAGTACGAACTTATACTTGAAGTCTTGCAGTTGTATGCTTGGTTCGGTTTTTAATTTTATGAATTATAGGATCCCAAGCAGATTGTAGTACCCAGCCATCTTCTCTACTGAAATAAGGATGTTTTTTTTAATTATAATAGCCTTGCAAATCATCCTTGGAAGGAATCGGTGTTCTTTAGCGAGGATTTGTGGTCTATCAAATCTGATGTAGTGATGGGGGCGATCCTGTACGTTTTCACAAACTGCGGACTTCCCGGAGCGCCAATTCTTCATATCAGCTATATGTTCATTAACGTGGGTTTTAATTGATCTTTTAGTTTGTCCTATGTAAGACAGACCACATTCACAATCTAGCTTGTATATTCCTGCATCTTGTAGATGAATATTACACGTGATGGATGGTAAAAATTGACTTATCTTTTTCGGTGGCTTAGTATGTTTTAATGGAAGCTCGCTTCAAGATGAGGCCAACCTTGTCTGTGACTCCTCTGACATACGATAGTACAGCAGGCACACACTCGACTGTGCTTCCGGCTTCATTCGGTCACTATGACGTAGGCGCGGGACCCGAAGCTTGTTGTCTTGCAATATTTGACGTGCTGAAGCTCGACGGCCAGATGTTTTCAGTTACAGATCCCTTGTACTCTCTGAAACAAAGATTCACCCGCGGTAGCTAACTGTGAAGGATGGTGGTGAGAATTACCGTTTGCATATCTATCTGTATGGGTCTTTTTTCTATATACAGTGTGGCTCAAGATGTTATCAGGATTCCGAATTACTAAAACGTCTAGAAAAGCTAAAGAATTGTTTGCATCTAACTCCATTCCGAACTGAATTATAGAATTTATAGAGTTAAAATGATCCAAAAATGCAGTGACTATACCTAAAGGTAGAATTGTGAATGTTTTGTCTGCGTACCGCTAGTAGAATCTTGGATTTACGGGAGAAGTAAGCAGGGATTTCTTCTCAAAATCTTCCATAAATATGTCGGCGACAATTATAGATACAGGTAAGCCCATCGCTACACAATCTACATGCTGACTGAACTGACTGAATTTTTGGATCTTAAGGAAGCTTTTGACACTCTTTCTTTTTCGACCGTTGTGTGGAAATCGGAAGCAATCGGTGTAAGGGACATCTCGCTGAATTTATTAAAGGACTACCTGAGGGAACATACAAAAAGGTAAAGATAGGTGACTATATTAGTGAGGAATCACCACTTACCTTTGGTGTTCCTCAGGGATGTGTACTAGGTACATTAACTAACCTAAATTTATTAGATAGTCGAGTATTTTCCTATGTCGATGACACCGCAATAGTTTTTGCGGAAAAGAATTGGAACTTGGTATTTAGAAATGATGAATCTGGTGTAATAAAAGTTTCAAAACGGTTCTGGAGTAACCATCTTTCCTTAAATATTGCGAACACTAAATATGTATGCTTTACGACGGATAATATAACGCAACCAAATAATAACAATAGTTTAAAAATACATTACTGTGACATTTCAAATAGTTATAACGGTAAGAGTACAGTTATCGATAAGGTTGCATCTATAAAGTATTTAGGGATTGTTCTGGATTAACACTTGAACTGGCATCCTCAAGTTGAATATACGAGCAATAGGATACGGAAATTAATTTGGATATTTAGGAAATTAAGACATGCCACCTTTAAAAACAACTAAATATACTGCATTGGCACAATCCATAATATGGTACTGTATCTCAGTCTCGGCTGTGCAGCTAAAACAAATTTATTAGAAATCGAAAGAAGTTAGCGTTGTCTACTCAGAATTATGTATTTTAAACATAAAATAACCGGTGGACAGTTTATGCGCGTGCAAACACTAAAGTGGTGCGCGGGGTACTGAGTACTGACATAGTCCTGTGAATCAACGCGGCGGGTCTTAAACTCTAGCTACTGAGAAAATCGAATCATTTGGTTGTGTTTTAATATTAAGTCATTGCATTTTAAAAGTGTTAGGGTTAAAATAACCCCATGTGGTACGCCAAAAGTTATTTTTATAATAACTGTAAATCTCGATTTTTCGCTAAAGTGGTCGCCTGTCTGTCAAAGTAGACATGACTCTCTACTTAGTAGCTCGTCTCAGTAAGCACTTAAGTATTTTATTATATTGTATTACTCAAAATCGGATTGTGAATCACTGCGTTACTGAAATTAACTTGAGGTAAGTTTAGAGTAGTGGAGGCGTCAGACAATCCAACACACTATTTCGTCCAGTAGATAAGAAAACGAGAGAAACAACTAAATAAACGGCTTAAATAATATCGTGTCGAAAGATCAATGACAGTATAACCATCTTGTATATATGAGGTGTAAATACCCAGATTAGTGGTGGAAAGCAATCGTAGCGTCAAAAGTGCGATAATCTAGCAGCATATATAGCTATACTTTGGTATATCTGCCTAGAGTTGTGATAAATCTATAATCTTCTCTACAATGGGTGTAGTGTTCAGCAATGGTTTTGCTATGGACTGGTGATGAAGAATAAGACAAGTATCCTGTCCAAATTATCTCGTCCAGTTCTCAAATTTACTTTGCTGAGAAAATCCGTAAATTTACCTAAATTTACCGAGTTAATAACGAAATGTTTCATGAAATTCGGAAATGGCAGTTAACTTTAGCAGAGTAAGAAAATTTAATTAAAGTTTTAACACCTTAACTAGCTCAAGGTTAATGACTTTTGCGTTATTATTACTTTCACCATCTGTGCGTTTCGTTAGGCAACTAATTTCTTTTCAAAAATCCTTGTATATTTCAAAAAAATATAACGAGATTAGTACTTACCTAAGTTTGAGAAAAAAACAACAACATTAGTCTTGCACTTCTGGACCATTTAAAGTTGTAATATTTTGAGGTAATGCCAGTGATAACTTACGTTGACATTTAATGTTCTTTCACATTTGGCCTTATAAGAAATCCTAAAGACACTTGGAATGACACGTATGAAGCTATAATGGTTTCTGTGTACGATAAAATCCATAACGAACAGATATGCAGATTATCACTTTAGGTTAAAATCAAATGTGTTCGTCATAATTTGAGGTCCTGATTGACGTTGCAGCACGAATGGGTCGCCTCGAAGTAAAATAGCAGCAAATGCATCTGTATATCGTATGTGATGATGATCGGGTGAGTGATGATTGTGGTTGTTGCAATTAAAAGCTTTTTCCTTGTTTATTATTTTAATAAATATTCAGCACAATTACACGTTGAAAGTCTTATTTTAAAACATCGTAGAACAAGTCAGAATAAAAAAGTAATATTTAAATGTTTATGTTGTTAGGCAATAACTGCTAGTATTTTTCTCACACTAATAATTTATAAGAATCTATAACAATGACAACCGGGGACCCTTGTTACTTGTATCCTTCTACCTTAGTCCTCAAAATTGATTACGTTTTCAATTCTTAATCGAGAACGGAATATTTACAGAACGGAGAATAGAATGGAGGTATAGTATTAGATAGACTGTATGTTAGTGTTAATTTTTCGTTCAAAAATTCGCCCACAAGGCTGTAATCGATGTACAAAATAATAATCTTTTTTTTTTAAAAATGCATTCATATTTCTTGAAATTTCTAATGATTCCAAGGTGAAACACATATTGATAAACTAGTTTCGAAATTAAGTTCTGCAATCATTGCTTTAAGAAGAAAGCCGATTTTACTGATGAAGCGACAGCAAATTATTCTACTTTGCTTACTTTTATATAATCATGACCTAAGGTGTATGTTTTTTTTATAGAATAAGGGTGACAAACGAGCAAATAGGTAGTCCACCTGATGGTAAGTGGATGCTGTGACCCATAGACATCTACATTTATTCTCGGAATCAAAATGCAGATGCGTCGTCACCCCTGAGAACTAAGAAGAGAATTCCTCGCTTCCAGTAAAAAAAGTCTCATCGGTTCTCTACACTCACCATACGAAACACAACATCCTTTAATTGCTATTTTACGTTTGTATTCTGTGAGAGCGTCGTCCTACTGAGCCGACCTATTTGTGGTACAACTAATAGAGCTACAACGGGTTCTTCCACATATTATTATTATTGTGGGGATATCAATATAGTTTTCTCATCTGGTTGGGTTCTATAAATATATAATTATAAATGGAACTGAAAAGATAAATATACATAAATATCAATAACATAAAATAAATATAAAAATACATATATAAATAAAAGCCCAACCAGATGGAGGCCCTCGGCAGGGGAGACCAAACGGCCGAGGGTCAGGGGGAAAGGGAAAGAAACCGGCGGACGATGCGGGCGGTATCGAGGAGCACCGCCCTCTGCATTTGAGCCTGGAGCGGACCGCCACGTAGTCCCAGCCGCCTCAGATGACCCGAGAGGCTGACTGGGATTAGCCCGTTTGCAGAGACAACTACAGGAATAATTTCGGTCGGCAGACCACCCCACATGTCGGTACCCTCGTGAGCCAGGTCCAGATGTTTTGTTTGCTTATCTGTTTCGGCTTTCACGAGGTTCTCGTCACACGGAATGGTAATGTCGACCAAAAATATCCTTGACTGTGCCCGGTCCATCAGCACAATATCAGGCTTATTCGCAAGAATAGTCCTGTCTGTGATGATGGCCCGGTCCCAATAGTACTTGTAATACGGCAATTTCCGATCTACGAAACCGTAATTCAGAGCGAGCTCCTGGTGTAGAATTCTGGTTACTAGGTTGCGCCTGTGCAAGTACTCAGAGTTAGAAAGCACCGAACAACCGGAGATAACATGCCTAAGTGACTCACCGGGATGGCGACAAGCTCGACAGATGTCGATGGTGCCATCCTTAAGGATGTATCTCCGATAGTTGTTGGTCTTAATAACCTGATCCTGTATTGCACAGACAAAACCCTCGGTTTCCCCGAAGAGGTCACCAAAGCGTAGCCAGTGGAGGAGGTTACTGTGTCTACGAAAGGCCCATGTAGAGACTTGTAGAACCTCCCGTGGAGCTCCTTCTCCTTCCATATGGTCTCCCGGTCGGAAATTGTCTGCACTGCCGGGTCTTGCCATTGCTCGTTGGCTAAGGATAGAGGGGTTAGTCCTTTATCACAAGAAATGACGTCCTTATAGAATGGATCATCCGATCTCGCCAGGAAGTAATTACGGAGGCTGCACACTTCGCGATTATGCATGGTGAGCGCGCTCAAGAAGCCACGTCCACCATGCTTTCGCGGCAAGTACAGCCTCATTACCGACGATCTCGGATGATGCATCCTGTGGGACGTCATGGTTGTGCGGACTTTTCTATCCAGGGCGTTAAGTTCAGTCTGACTCCACCTGAGTATGCCAAAGGTATACATGAGGACAGGCATGACCCAGCCGTTATATGCTTGTGTCTTATTCACACCGGACAAAAGGCTGTTAAGCACTTTGGTCAAGCGTGCATAAAACACGTCGCAAACTGACTGTTTCATACCAGCCTCATTGATACCGATGTTCTGTGACATACCCAGGTATCGGTATGTTTCAGCCTCGGAAAGGGTCCTTAAGTTGACGGGCATAGATAAGTCTATGCCATCAGAGTTAGCAACCCTACCCCTCTCAACATGGAGTACCGTACACTTATCCGTCCCCAGCTCCATTCCAATGGAATTGCTAAATTCACAAGTGATGTTTAGCAATTCGATAAGATGGGAGCGACTGGAGGCGAATAACTTGAGGTCATCCATATACAAAAGGTGGGTCACTTTTGTCCCTCCTTTCCGTAGCTGAAATCCCCTCCCGGAGCCCTCCATTAAGGTACTGAGAGGGTTCAGAGAGAGGCAGAACCATATTGGACTCAGACAATCGCCCTGGAAGATACCCCTTCCTATCCTTGTGTGGTTCTCCGCAGCCATCATCCGCTCGCTCAGATGACAAAGGATCGTACTCCACTGCCCCATACACTGCCCGAGGAAGTCTCTAACTGTACAGTCTATCTTGTACAGCTCGAAGACTCTCTTTAGCCATGTATGGGGCACCGAGTCGAATGCCTTTCTGTAGTCTATCCAGGCGGCGGAGAAGTTCCGACGGTTGCGTTTCACCACTTTGCCAATGACCGCGTCAATGAGGAGTGGTTCCTTGGTTCCACGACCGCCGCCCCGACATCCATTTTGAGCGCGCGACATCACCTGATTTGAGTCCAGGTGACGAGCGATTCTCGCGCTCAAAATGGATGTTAGTGTCTTGTATATAGTCGGTAGACACGTGATGGGGCGGTATTTGCTCGGGTTTGTAGCACCCCGATCTTTAGGAACCAAATGAGTGATCCCAGTAGTGAAGAGGCTTGGGAGCGACTTCTGGTTGAGAGCCTCTTGAAACTGTCGGGCGAGCATAGCGTGACACACCATGAACCCCTTCAGCCAGTAGTGATGCAGCCCGTCAAGCCCCGGACTTTTCCAGTTCGGGGCCCTACGGACCGCCTCAGCTACGTCATCCGGCGTTATGATGACGGGGTCCATGGGCGTAATACCCGCACACTGACTCGCCACAACTTCCGTCCAAGGGCCCTCGTTGTGGTTTACGGGCTCTGACCACAGGCTGCGCCAGAATGCGACCGTGTCGGCCTGATTCGGTGCTGGGCCCGTTCCACTTACCATTGGTCGCTCCAATGATTTATAGAGCCTCTTCTGATCACTCTGGAAGAGACGATTCTGATTAAACCGTGTCGACTTCTCGGTATATCGCCGAATTCGCTTTCCCCAAGCAGCGATTCTCTGCTTCAGGTCGTCTATGCGCTCCGTCAGTTTTTGCATTATATCCGGCTGGGACAAACTAACATTTGTCCCAGCAAACGCCATCCTGACGGTGCGTACAATCCTTGGCCTGGTATTGCCTGACCTGAAGCATATCAGTCTGCCGATGAGGGCCCTAGCCTTTGCGATACGTTCTTCAATTCTTGTTCTCCAGGCTGGGATAGCACTACTTTGTCCAGTAGTGCGTCCAGCCGTGGAAAGTTTGGCGCCTATAATACGGCAGACTTCCAGTGCGGCGCCAAAGAGAATTGAGTCCATCTCGCATAGGTCCCGGCTGGCTTCCAAATAGGTCACCAACATTGGGTTCAGAGCCCTCACGACAGCCCGATTCCGCTTGCTTAGGCCTATGCGGGGAAGTCGCGGTCGATTTTCGAGAGGCGTACTGCGCTTTTCCATAATCGCCTCTTCCATTTGCTCTATTTTTTCATTTGCTCTATTTCTAGTTCCTGGGTGAATGTTCCATCATCATTTGAATCAGCAACCACTGGGGTATTCACGGCGGCATCCACGTGTGCGGGTTGTTCTGCAACTTGTGGCACCGCACCCTCAGTCGTAGCGTTTTCATTTGATGAGGGAACAGCCTCACGTCGTAGCCGTTCGAGTTCGGCGCCATCAAATATATTTAAGCGTAAGATATACCGAACTCGGTCTGCCAGGTTTTGCTCGGTGACAGTAATAGATGGCTCCAGCTCAGTAAAAAGACGATGCATCCTAGCCCGATACGCGAAACCTCCAATTTCTTCCCCTTTCGCCCTAAAATACGCCCGCAATGCGTTTGTATTCATATTGATGGTCCATCGCATGCGGCGTACTCCACCAGTGGCGGGTGCCGATTGCTGGGTCTGAAGACCCTGCCGACACCAAGCAAGCTGGTGGGGATGATGGATGCGATGAACTGCTGGGTGCGTGCAGCACCTCGCGCTCGGCTGGCGGTTCGCATGCTGTCGCGTCCAGCGCCAGCTCCAGACGCGCCCTGGCGACCTCCAGGCAGCGGCCCTTTGCGCAATCTTCTGTGTTCCATCATCCATAGTGGGCGTAATTTAACGGGAGACGCCCAGACCCGGCACCATTTCATGGTGAGGCCATATGCACAAGCGGGCCCTTGCACCATCAATTTTTGCCGAGGCACGGCGCTCACACCTCTTGGCAAGGTGCTGACTGACTGCGCGGACGTAGCGGTTTTGTCACATAACCGTCACGTCAGCGGGCGATGGGGTCGTCACTTCCCTACGCCATCTTATTATTATTATTATTATTGTGGGGTATCTATATAGTTTTCTCATCTGGTTGGGTTCTATAAATATATAATTATAAATGAAAATGAAAAGATAAATATACATAAATATCAATAACATAAAATAAATATAAAAGTACATAAATAAATAAAAGCCCAACCAGATGGAGGCCCTCGGCAGGGGGAGACCAAACGGCCGAGGGTTAGGGGGAAAGGGAAAGAAACCGGCGGACGATGCGGGCGGTATCGAGGAGCACCGCCTTCTGCATTTGAACCTGGAGCGGTCCGCCACGTAGTCCCAGCCGCCTCAGATGACCCGAGAGGCTGACTGGGATTAGCCCGTTTGCAGAGACGACTACAGGAATAATTACGGTCGGCAGACCACCCCACATGTCGGTCACCTCGTGAGCCAGGTCCAGATATTTTGTTTGCTTGTCTGTTTCGGCTTTCACGAGGTTCTCGTCATACGGAATGGTAATGTCGACCAAAAATATCCTTGACTGTGCCCGGTCCATCAGCACAATATCAGGCTTATTCGCAAGAATAGTCCTGTCTGTGATGATGGCCCGGTCCCAATAGAGCCTGGCGAGATCATTTTCGAGCACGGCTTTCGGCAAGTACTTGTAATACGGCAATTTCCGATCCACGAGACCGTATTTCAGAGCGAGCTCCTGGTGTAGAATTCTAGCTACTAGGTTGTGCCTGTGCAAGTACTCAGAGTTAGAAAGCGCCGAACAACCGGAGATAACATGCCTAAGTGACTCACCGGGATGGCGACAAGCTCGACAGATGTCGACGGTGCCATCCTTTAGGATGTATCTCCGATAGTTGTTGGTCTTAATAACCTGATCCTGTATTGCGCAGACAATACCCTCGGTTTCCCCCGAAGAGATCACAAAAGCGTAGCCAGTGGAGGGAGGCTACTGTGTCTACGAAAGGCCCATGTAGAGACTTGTAGAACCTCCCGTGGAGCTCCTTCTCCTTCCATATGGTCTCCCGGTCGGAAATTGTCTGCACTGCCGGGTCTTGCCATTGCTCGTTGGCTAAGGATAGAGGGGTAAGTCCTTTATCACAAGAAATGACGTCCTTATAGAATGGATCATCCGATCTCGCCAGGAAGTAATCACGGGGGCTGCACACTTCGCGATTATGCATGGTGAGCGCGCTCAATAAGCAACGACCACCATGCTTCCGCGGCAAATACAGCCTCATTACCGACGATCTCGGATGATGCATCCTATGGGACGTCATGGTAGTGCGGACTTTTCTATCCAGGGCGTTAAGTTCAGTCTGACTCCACCTGAGTATGCCAAAGGTATACATGAGGACAGGCATGACCCAGCCGTTATATGCGTGTGCCTTATTCACACCGGACAAAAGGCTGTTAAGCACTTTGGTCAAGCGTGCATAAAACACGTCGCAAACTGACTGTTTCATACCAGTCTCATCGATACCTATGTTTTGTGACATACCCAGGTATCGGTATGTTTCAGCCTCGGAAAGGGTCCTTAAGTTGACGGGCATAGATAAGTCTATGCCCTCAGAGTTAGCAACCCTTCCTCTTTCAACATGGAGGACCGCACACTTATCCGTCCCCAGCTCCATTCCAATGGAATTGCTAAATTCACAAGTGATGTTTAGCAATTCCATAAGATGGGAGCGACTGGAGGCGAATAATTTGAGGTCATCCATAAAGAAAAGGTGGGTCACTTTTGGCCCTCCTTTCCGAAGCTGAAATCCCCTCCCGGAGCCCTCCAGTAAGGTACTGAGAGGGTTCAAAGAGAAAGGCAGAACCAGATTGGACTCAGACAAGTCGCCCTGGAATATACGCCTTCTTATCCTTATGCGGCTTTCCGCAGCCGTCATCCGCTCGCCCAGATGACAGAGGATCGTACTCCACTGCCCCATACACTGCCCGAGGAAGTCTCGAACTGTACAGTCAATCTTGTACAGCTCGAGGACCCTCTTTAGCCATGTATGGGGCACCGAGTCGAATGCCTTTCTGTAATCTATCCAAGCGGCGGAGAAGTTCCGACGGTTGCGTTTCACCACTTTGCCAATGACCGCGTCTATGAGGAGTGGTTCCTTGGTTCCACGACCGCCGCCCCGACATCCATTTTGAGCGCGCGACATCACCTGATTTGAGTCCAGGTGACGAGCGATTCTCGCGCTCAAAATGGATGTTAGTGTCTTGTATATGGTCGGTAGACACGTGATGGGACGGTATTTGCTCGGGTCTGTGGCACTCCGATCTTTAGGAACCAAATGAGTGATCCCAGTAGTGAAGAGGCTTGGGAGCGACTTCTGGTTGAGAGCCTCTTGAAACTGTCGGGTGAGCATAGAGTGACACACCATGAACCCCTTCAGCCAGTAGTGATGCAGCCCGTCAAGCCCCGGACTTTTCCAGTTCGGGGCCCTACGGACCGCCTCAGCTACGTCATCCGGCGTTATGATGACGGGGTCCATGGGCGTAATACCCGCACACTGACTCGCCACAACTTCCGTCCAAGGGCCCTCGTTGTGGTTTACGGGCTCTGAACACAGGCCGCGCCAGAATGCTACCGTGTCGGCCTGATTTGGTGCTGGGCCTGTTCCACTTACTATTGGTCGCACCAATGATTTTTAGAGCTTCTTCTGATCACTCTGGAAGAGACGATTCTGGTTGAACCGTGTCGACACCTCGGTATATCGCCGAATCCGCTTTCCCCAAACAGCGATTCTTTGCTTCAGATCTTTCTTGTTTTCTGGTTATTATTATTGTTATTATTATTATTGTTATTATTATTCATTTTGCAAAAGCACGTGATATGGGTAATTTATAACCTTTTCGAGAAAATTAATATTTTGATATTTCTGTCGCTGTTTATTTCTTAGGATACTATTTGGTACGTGCGGTAATATATAAACTTATTTTATCGGTTTAAGTATCTAAAAGGTTAACGTGATTCAATAAGGGCTGTTATGGACGCCACACACGGTCAGTTCAACTGATCATTCCAACTGATAAGTTCAAACTAAAACGGTTGAAATTTTTTAAAATATCGGTTTTTCGATATATCGATAAATAAACTTATATATAAAACTCCGATATTGATATATTTATAATTAGTTTGAACTGATCAGTTGGAATAATCACTTGAACTGACCGCGTGTGGCGACCATTAAACTCAGCAGCAATAAAAATTAATATTATATAATTAAATAATAAGTTCTATAGAACTATTAAAGCGCAACTAGCGGGAAAAATTTAAAAAACTTTTTGGAAAGTTTTGTTAAAATAGATAAATACATTGAGAACAAAGACACTCAAATATATTAAATCTCTTTGATTGGGAACAATGATGTGTGGAAATAAATAAGTCTCACCTACTCTTGCAAGTTCCTTGGCTAATGAAAACTTGTTCAAACTGACATTTCAAATAAATGTTAAAATAAATTTTTAAAGACAGTTTTTTTGATTTTATTTGTTATTAATAAAATAAAAGACAGAGTTACTTGCCAGTTGGTTTCTGAAAAGGTCTTTTTTTTGCATACTTTTGTAGATTCTACATTCATAAATGTTAAACAAACGTAAATGTGATTAAAAATTTGACTTCAAATTTGAACTCCTGACAATTCAAATAACTATAACGAAATTTATCGACGTTTTATTACGTGGTGCAGTACGACATTTATGTCAGTCGTAAATTATGCAAAACTAAATTACGCTCAGTTCTCGTAATACAAAGCTGCAACAGCTGGTTAACGTTGTAAATGTCATGTATAAAAGTCTATTGTACATAGACCATAAGTGTTCAAATTGTAGATAACATTACTTTCATACGGCATTATTGCATTCGATATAATACAATACTTTTATGATTGAAGGTCAGGAGTAAAAATAAAGTCAGGAGTAAAAAAATTCTGTTATTATAACACGTTTTTTTGTTATTAGTAAAAGGAGTATTTTAAACACAGTATATTCAATAAAAGAGAAGCGCGCGTCACGCGTAAACACTGTCAGCTGCAGATGATATTATCTGCGCATATGCACTGGTAGAAAAATATCTTAGACTGGTTATTGATGAACGCTTTAATTGGACCAACCACATTAACTCTGCGACAAATTGAATGCAAATCTGGCAAAGTTTTTACCGACTAAATAGTAAAAACTTATTTCAACGAAACTGCTGCTTTACAAATCAATAGGGGAATCTGTTATATCCTACTGGCTGCATTCGAAGGCCTTATAAATGACACAGACCTAATATATCAACTCTAGCTAATAATTCTTAAAATTGAGGTAACGCCTCATAAAAATACAAGTACAGAAACAATTATGAGTGTCCCTTCAGTTACTGTAAAATAATTCCCAGGATACATAAGAAACAGTTTTTTAACAAAAACGTGTACCATACTCAATTAATAACGAAAAACACACTAGCAGTGCTGTCTTCCGTATTGCCTATAATACACTTAAACTAATAAATGAACCCTGCACATTTAAATCTACATTTTTAGATCAAATAAAAAATCGCTTAAATAATTAAAAAATTTATATCATAATATAAA